GTTTCCTAAACTGATGAACCTAAAATTATGGAGAATCAATCAGAGAGTCAATCTTCTACTTTCCAACACTAATACATCCCATCACCCATCTACACCATTTGTCTCCAAACCCAAAGTTGATCATCACCTCCAACAGGAAGGACCGGTCTACCAAATCGTAGGCCTTTTCTAAGTCCAATTTGCAAACCACCCGCTTTTTCTTTGATCTCTTGAAATCCTCAACACTCTCATTGGCTATAAGTATTTGATCTATTATTTGCCTTCCCCTCACAAAATCTCCTTGGTTATTTGCTACAATGGTAGGGAGCACCTTCCTAATCCTAAGGGACAACATTTTTGCTATAATCTTGTACAAACTATTTACTAGGCTGATTGGTCTATAGTCCCTTGGATGATTTGCTTCTTTTTTCTTGGGAACCAAGGCTATGAAAGTGGAATTCAGTTTTGGGTTGATCACTCCTCTGTTATGAAATTCATTAAACACCATCAATGGATCCTCTTTTAGTATCTCCCAACAATCCTGATAAAATGCCATTGTGAAGCCATTTGGGCCTAGTGCCTTTGACCTATCCATAGAGAATACAACCTCCTTCACTTCTTCCAAGTTAAATCTCTTCTCCAACCACTCCCTATCCTCTAAACTCAAGAATGGCCAATCCAACCCCTCAAGCCACACTATTCTTTATTGGTCTTTTGAAGATTGATCTAAAATGATCTGCAAAGGCTCCAACAATCTCACTTTGATTGGATAGTGTTACTCCTTCAATTTCCAAGCTTGAGATGAAAATTTTTTCTCCTATTCCCCTCTTTCGACCACGTACATCTTGATTTTTGCCTCCAACTTATTTCCTCCTTGAGCAAATGATCTTCTAATTGTTTCTGTAGTCTCTATCTATATTCCTTATCCTCTTCTGTAAAGTTTCCCCTACCTTCTTTCAAGTCCAGGTCTTCAATTTGTGCAGTCACAGATTGCTTCCTTTCCTCCAATCTCCCAAACTCTAGGAGATTCCATTCCTTAATTCTATCTTTCAAATATTGGAGCTTCTTGTGGAACCTCATTCCACTCTAGTCAACTGTAGGATTACTCTCTAGCCACCAATCTTTAACCTTCTTGATAAATCCTAGGTGACCTAACCACATGTTTTCAAACCTAAATGGAGCAGGTCTTGCATTTCCCAACTCTTCCTTACATATCACGATAGGCCAATGATCAGAGGTCACCCTTGGAAGTGTTCTAGATGTCAAGTCCCCCCAGTGCTCTTCCCAATCATTTGAAAAGAGAAATATGTCCAGCTTAGAGCATATAGGATTCACTTGGAGATTGGACCATATAATGCTGTTATGTGACAATGGGATCTCTTTAAGCTCAAAGGCATCCACAAATTGGTTAAATTTCCTCGTGCTTGTAGTCACCCTTTGGCTAGGATTATTTGTTTCTTCCAAAAACTTGATTACATTAAAAATCCCCTCATATACACCATGGTCCTTCCCACAACCCCTTGATATCACCAAATTCTTCCCATAATTTCCCCCTCTCTCTATAGTCATTTGGCACATAAACATTTGTTAACACCCATTCAAATCCATCCTCCACCTGCTTAAACTTCAACAAGACTATAAATTATCCTATCAATTCCTCCAAGCCTATGAGAACATCATTCTTCCACGTTGTCACAAAACCCCCCTGCAGCTCCCCAAAAGGAAGTCATAGCCCAACTGATCCCCCTAGCTCACCAAACACAACTTGCCCACCTAATATTAAAGTCTGCTCTTTTGGTTTCCTGCAACATTAGCACATCTGGATTTATCTTCTTGATTGCCTCTTTAATAACTGCTCTCTTTCTAGCACTTCCCAGACCTCTAACATTCCCCCAAGCATAATATATTTTTGCAAGAAATGAAATCTTGATGTACTAAATTATTACATATGTAAATATAAATACACATTATAGTTTTTCTAAGAATGATAATATTTCTAATTATCATATCTCTGTGTCATGACTTTCTCCCATCTCTTCATCAAACCCCCTCCTCCCCCCAATAAAAAAATTACATGATCTGAACTGTTGATAAGGGATTAGAAATAATTTACTTAATATAGTACTGGTGTGATGACTCCCTTGTAGCCACCAAGTACTTATGATCCTCTGCAGTCTGTAGGGTTCCTTGGGCCTTGACTAAATAGGTCTACTGCCTAGGGCATTATATAGGCAATTCTTTTTCTTAACTAGACTGCCCTGAAATGCATCCATGTAACAACTTGTATAGAACTCGCTCCATAGATATGTCAGGGAGTGATTATTATTTTCAGTATTCCACTACTTGCGCATTTCTATAAGTAAAAAAAAAGCCAAAGTGAACCCAAGACTTTGGCATTGCATCGTATAGAAAGCAAAAAGAAAGTGGTATTGCATTCTATATCAATATAACTTATACTGGATTTGAATGGTGAGTTCGTAATTAGTAGTGTCATCATGGATATGGCTCTCGATTAGCTGCATAGCTGATGAAGGGTTGAAAAATAAGCTACACTATGAGAATTTTAGCATCAGAGGATAAACCCAAGAGTATGGGTAATCCTGAAACTTGGGCCATGGGAATCACCATGTGGTTCTGAGGGAAAAAGATATCTTTAAGTCAAACTGTCCACAAAAAGAGGGCTAAAGAGTAAAGACGAACTCTGGTAGCAAAATCCAAAAAAAGTGGGCCCTGTGATTTTTCAGGCAATCACCTTATGGAAATGTTTCTATTTTTCTGGTGAACATGCGTTTATCTGCATATGGAAGGGCATGCACTAGAAATAAACAAATAAATCTTCTTTCTCAAATTTGTGCTACCAGTTCATGTCAATTAAATCTGACTTCCTTTACATTTCAGGGTGCCAAGGTCCTTTATAGAAGAGATAACAGTCTGCGCCATGAGGATGGCTCAAAGGTTAGTGCTACATCATCATCGAAGGCAACATAATATTTTGATAGCGTAGCCTGTCTAAATATATGTAAGGTGGTAATGTTGATTGTACTTGGTCCAGTTTATACATGGCTGTATCATACTCATCCATATTTTAAGCTCCTTGAACAGTGTTTTTTGTTTTGTAATTTTTTTTAAGATCTAGATCAGTAATTTGGATGTGCTCCTATTCTGGTTTTAGCACCCTTCAACATTTTAATTAATGATTTTTTATTGCTTCTGTTTGCAAGTATCTTTCTTACTATTATGAGCTGTGGACAACCACTTGGTTTTAATAATGATCATTTTAATAGCCAGTGATGGCATTATAGTAGAAAAAGGCAATAGATCATTATCTTAAAGTAATGGCTTCTAACTGCTTTAAGTGCTTTAGTATCATTTCAATGTTAGTATAAATATATCATTAAACTATATTAGAATGTGGTAAAAACTTGTGGCAATCGTATCAATATGATTGTCAAAGATTCAGCAATACTGGGCTTCCATATTCTCTGAACCTGTCTCTATGTTCATTTTAGATTTGTAGTTTTTGATTATTGAAGTAAATCTTGTTTAGATGCCTGATAGATGATTATATTCTTTTCCTTCTCTGGCTTGCTTTTTATATATTTGAGAGTGGTCAATTTATGCAATTAGAAGGGAAAAAGAAATCAAGGGTTTCATGACCCCAGATAGTTGGACAAATATTGGGCCCAACATGAACCATTGAACCTGACCTGACCTGACCTGACCAGACTAAATAAAATAGAGATATTGAGTCCAACACAATTCTAGCGGTCATAGTTTCACATTCCATTTAAAGAAAAATATAGTTTCAATGTCACTGTTTTACAAGTTTTTCAATGTCATTGTTTCTTATCATAAAGTTTCATGACTTTGTTGGTTATTCATTAAGGTTTATGATAAATATAGTCACATTCCATTTAAGGAAAAAAACATATTTTTAAGTCGTCTTATAATAAGAAAGATTTGCATAACACAGCATCACAAAAGTATAGCTAACAACATCACAACACCCATGACAATATGGGAAAAAAAGTGACTTAATGATACCAATGGGTTAGGTTTGATGCAGGTTTTCCCAACCTGAACGTTATGCAGCCAGCCTCATTTGCACGATCTGATCCAAAATCCGATTTAAAACCTGAATCTGCTCCGATGAGCTCAAGGTGGATTTATCATTTAATCCTACCCGTTGGCATCCCTATTTGCAATTGTTTCTCACCTTTTTGAAAAATTCCTCTTTGAGGCTGTGGTTAGTTTCACAAAAAGATAAGAGAGAAAGAGAAAGTAGGAAAAGTTCTTGAAAGGAAATTGTGAACAGAAAGTTCTCCCTCAACTTTCTATTTCTCTTATTTTTCTATCAAACCAAACATAGTCCCAACATAGCCTAAGAAAAACGAGATGGAAGCTAAGTTGTTTTGGATGTTATATGAGTGCAAGGTCTGAGGCTAAGAAATCCTTGTTTTTTTTTTTTCGTTTTCTTTTTTTTTTCATTTTTAGGGTTCATATGACGTGTTTTTTTTTGGTCATTTATTTGTAAGACTCGAACTGTAAGTCTAAAGTGCTAGGCGGGTCTAGAGTTGGACTCAATTCTTATGCGGTCTTAAAAAACTTCACGACTTGAATTGGACCAAAACTATTATTGGATCCAGAATCTGTTGACCCAGGCGCTGCTTTAACTTTGGAGAAACACGTGCGTATGGTTACAGACTCGAATCAGTTATAACAGAAATGTACATATGGCAAGTAGACAGCTACCAGATAATTAACTCAATTATCTGGCAGCTGTCTACATGCCACGTGTGCATTTCTGTTATAACTAATACGGGAAAAACTTTGGCTGTTGGGGGCTAACAGAGAGTTTCTGGGTTGGGCACCACTACTAATGGTAACGTGCCCAACCCAGAAATTCTCAACAGGAAAGACTGTTGGCCCCAACAGCCAAAGTTAACCCGTTCTTGCTTTGCTTCCGCTGCGTGTTCTTTTTTATGCTCCCCACCCCGGAGATCCAGCTTTTGTTTACCGCAAGCATATTCTTATTCGAGTATTTCCTCAGAGATCTTGGTCGTTCCAATGGAGATCAGATCATCATACCACGCTCCCACAATAGAAAATTGTCACCAGTGAATAGACATGAGACCAACACTACTCCTGGGTAGACCTGGCAATTGGGTTGGGTGGTTTGGGTTCAGGTTGGGTCAAGACCCTTCGGATTGATTTTGAGTCGGGTTGAATTTTGGGTTGGATTGTCAAATGTTAGACCTTAACCTTAAATGTTTGGGTTAGAACTGACTCATGAGCAATTTGGGTCATCCCAAAAAATAATTGAAATTAAAAAAAAAAACTACATGAAAAATGCCAAAGTTAAAAGAATTAACCTTAAAATTTTAAATATAAAATAAAAAGACTTGAACATTTAACAATTTAAAGAGCAAATAATAAAGAGTAAATGCTAAATAAAAAAAAATTAAAAAGTGAAAATTTCTAACAATCGAGTCAGCGGGTTGACCCATGACTCAAACCCAACCCAATCCAGTTTTTTCCGGGTTGGGTCGGGTCATTCTCGCATTCAGGTAGCTAAATATGAGACCCTAACCCTATTTTTTTGAGTTGGGTCAGGTCAGGTTGTGTTTGCGGATTGGATCAACTTTTTGCCAGGTCTACTCCTAGGCTATTTGAACGGATACAAGAAGTATGGAGAATTTGCTCTGATCTCCATTCGAACGACCAAGATCTCCGAGGAAAGACTTGAAGAAGAATGCTCTTAGAGTAAACAGAAATTGGTTCTTCGGCGAGAAACTCGAAGAACATACAATAGAACAAAATAGTGGATCACCGCTCTGATACCATCAAGACAAATATATCTATTAATAGAAGTAAGAAAAGTTGTGTGCTAACTTAACACACACACACGTATAGTTACAGGTTTATATTATTTATAACATAAATGTGCATGTGGCCAGTAGACAGCTATCAGATAACTAACTCAACTATTCTAACAATAATAGATACATCAAGTACCACTTCATGGAGGCTTGCGATCTACAGGCACTCCACAGCCGCAGTGAATCGAGATTTGTTCCTACACAGAGTTCTCCGCACACACCAACCTCAGAAGCATTGTAGCCATGCATTAGGAATGTCTCGTATGAATGATAACATACAAATATGATAAACGTTCTTAATGTGTGAATGAAACATGCTGTGATGTTGGTGTGAGGACTGAATTATTTTGTGAGGAGTAGATCAAGATAAGTACTAATAATTTTGGTGTCTCATTCAAAGTGGACAGATCACCAATTAGAACTCCAATTGATGACAATTTTACCAAGTAGACCCCTACATTAGAATCTTTTAAAAAGAGGCATGAAAATATATAAAATATTCATGCAGTTAATTTTGACAAAACAATTGTTTATTTTCTAAATGATCTCTTCATATGAATCACTACCCCAAATCTTTCTAATCTATTTTTTGAAATTGATTTATTTTCCAAACTTGCCCTTCATATCAATGGCTCAAAGGTAAAACTGCAACTTTAAATTCTCTCTTTTTTGTTGTTCATAAAATTTGTACTGTTTTTTTTTATATAAATCAATCTCAATAGTAATTGCATGGATATTTTGGACATTTTTATAGCTCTTATTAGAAGATTTTAACAAAAAGAATCCACTTGCAACTGTATCAAAAAAGTTCAAGAGATGTGATTGTAATTTGATAAGATGCATCGGGTTTTGTACATAGGAATAGGATGGACAAAAACTATGGTATCAGGATTTCTCAATTCGTTTCAGTGACTATAATCCTCTCTGTATTTGAACATACATCACCCTAGATTTTTAACAATGTTGAATATCAAATTGTAGTAGTCCAATACATTTGGTTCGGATTTTCTATTTATTGGTTGATTCTATAAAGCAATTATATAATCTGCTCTAATTCTAGGATTTCTGGGCAATCAGATTCCAAGGGGCTGTTCTATTTTATAACAGTTGAAGTGACCTGCTGAATTGGATGAATTATTGCTTTTGTCTTTTTATAGATGATATAAAGAAAATAATGTACAGGGGTATAATAATCAACCCAACATGCAGTTTAGCCATTAAGGAACTCACAACAGATTTAATAGCTTATTCATCAGTCAATTCAGTTTAGGTACTTCAGATGTGCAGTGAGATTACTCTTCACTTCTCATAGAGCGCTTTTCACATCGACCTCACAGCCATATCTAAGGGTGTCAATGGACTGGTTTTGGATTGGCCTCGTCCAGTCCAAAATCAATTTGGATGGATTGAACGGACCAACAAGACATATTGGATTGGATTAATTTGGTCCAAAATATATATTAGATTAGATTGGACCTAGTGTGTCTGTAATAAATTTATATTGGGTCGGGCTAGATTAAGTCAATATCTGATTCATTGATATAAGATAAAAATATATGTGTCAATGAATCGGGTTTGGATTGAAATCAATCTAAATCAAAATGAATTTAAACAGATTGGATGGTCCAAACATTGAATTGGACCAATCCAAATTGGTCTAAAACATTAACTGAATTAGATTAGACTTGGTCCATTTATAATAGACTCACATTGGACTGAATCAGATTGGACCAAATCCAGTCCAATTGACACCCCTTGGGCCCATATCCCAGTGTAATGGGAATATCTCCCATGAATGATAATTTGTACGAGAGATGTTTCATACTGTGAGGCCAATGTGAGAAGTAGATCCGGAAACAAATCGCCATACGTCACCCTCTTAAGCCTTTTGGAAAATGGATGTTGACACACAATCTCAATAATCTAATTTATAAGAATTTTTTTCTTTTGAGCTTGAAGTTTAGAAACCAGATTTCGATCTCTCCTTGTCGAGATCGAGGGGGGTCTGCAATCACGCAAAGACTTCAATCTGGTGTTGTCCAGTGGCTGGTATGAGAGACGTCTTATTCCTGTAAACTGGCAATATTCTATTCATTCATGTTTGGCAATAACATTAAAAAAAAAATGCAGAACTCCTTACAATGTTTTTGGCTTTTTTGCCATAGCTTTATTGGCATCCAACGCCAAACCGACGTCAAATGATCTCAACTATTAGTTTCAAAGTACACTCCACAATATTGTTATTGAAAAATATATAAGCACCAATCAGAACGAAAAGCACCGACCACACTCAACTCAACAAGTCAGTAGCTCCACCTATCAGTTTCTAAGCTCAGGCCCACGAGTACAATTAGATCATATCTTTGTCTTAATATCCAAATAGATATCCAAATGCAGTGTAAAAAAAAAAAAAAAACTAATTCCATTTGCATACCTACATCCAATCCAATAGGCCATTTTCGAAAATCATATATACCAACTGACCATTGGATTCTGTAAAATTACAGTCATTACCTACATCAGGGGGGCTGTCTCAACTCTCAAACCATATTAATTTAAATAGGAGACGGGCAACAAAATTGAGTTGTTTAAACCGTAAACCTGGTAGTGACTGTCTCTCTTTATTCTCCACCACTGTCTTTTCAGTGGTGTTTGGTGCGTTGGCCTTGTCTTTATGGATAATTGGAAGCACTACGCCACTACCCATCTGAAATCCTTTTTTTTTTTTATTTTTTGCCTATCAAAATTATCTATAACTATAAGCTTGAACAAATGCCCGATTCACTAACCATGCGCTCCATCTCAATATCTTTTATTTTTTTAACGTGTCATCTGTCATGCATGCTATTATACCACCACTTTTTACTTTTTAGCTTCTCTCCCTCTCTCTCTATATATATATGGTTGACACGGCAAAGCTAAGTAGGTAAAGACCCTAAAGTATAAAACTAGTCTCTATTATATAAGAAGAGTCACTCTATACTTCTACAGTTCAGTGCAATGACCAAACAAACCTTTTCCTGTCCTGTCATGTCATCTATGTGTCTCCTAATTCCTAAATCAGCGAGGCCTATCTGGATCCGCGTACGTTGTCTACTGTCTAGCTAGTTTAATTTATTTCTTTGGTATTTAGAATATTTGAGAAGGTCAATAACCTTTTAATGGTTAGTGTAATCGGTTTACGTGAGACTGCTACTGTTAAGTACACCAAATTAGGGCTGTTCATGAAAAACCGAAAAACTGAATTGAATCGAGAACATCGAATTGTGGTTAATTGAATCAATCGGTTTGATTTCAGTTTGGAATTTTTGAAAAATCAAAGGATTGATTCGATTTTTAGTTAACCTACAAAAAAATCGACTGTTAATCGAATCAATCGGTATATATATTTATATGTATATTTTATATATATTATATATTTTTAAAATATTTATAATATATTATATATCATTTATTATTTATAATATAATATTGTACATATATTTATATAATATATATTATAAATATAAAAAACTAAAAAACAGAAGAACGGAACTGGTCAAAAACCGAAACCAATAATACTAGTTCGGTTTCAATTTGGCAAAATGAAAAAACTGGTACCACTGGTTCGGTTTACAAAAAGGGCCATCGAACCATGGACACCCCTACACCAAATTACCAACCAACTGGTCCATCTTTTTTCTAGGTTTTATTGACTATTCTGGCTCCTGGTCCAACATTTTCTTTTTCCTTCTAGTTCAGAATAACGTAAATTAACCAGACCAAAATTTTTGGATTAGTTTTGATTAATCTCAACCGTCTTTTTCTTTCCCTCAGCATATCAACCCATTTTAGCTAGACTTGAGGAAGGCAATATATAAAGGATCATGACAACCTTGCTAACAAGAGAACCAACAGAGTTTAATCTATGAAACCCTAGTTCCATGGCCAGGCTCTGTAGTTAAAGCATATAAAGCATGGTTTTGAAAATCGGATCAGCAATGGAACCACTTTAACCATTGGTTATTGGGTCAAATGGTTCGACTTTTCGATCCAAATTTTATCAAACAATTAATTTTTGGGTCCAAAACTAGATCTGGAGCCATGACCAGTTCCCATGTCAATTGGTCCAACTGTTCAGTCCAATTTTTAAAACCATGATATAAAGAATTACGTACGCAGGTAGGTTTCAACTGGGTTGCTTGCATTGTACTTAGGGGTGGATATGAGTTGAGCTTTTCACGAGTTATTCGAGTTCGGTTCATAAAAAATTCAATTCAGTGCATTCTTAATTGAGTTTTGAGCCAAACTCGAGCCCAATGTATAGATTCATTTGCTAATCGAGCTGAGCTCGAGCCTAATAATACTCAGTTCATGAGGCTCATGAGCCCAATATATAATATTTTTATTTTTTATATGTATTATAATAATAACTAGTTTTTATGATTCTTAATTTTTTATATATAAAATAAAAAATTTATATGTATTACTTTTTATTTTTATAGGAAATTTAGCTCACAATCGAGCTTGAGCCTCAGTATTCTTGTGAGAGTTGAACTCAAATAACTAGGAGTGCAACATTTCCTGGTTAGAGTTGAGATTTTGTCAAAATTTCAATAGGCCCAATCCGAAGCCTAAGCCTTGTTGGATTTTAATCTCATAAGAGATTAAATCCAATGGGTTTGATTGGTCAATTACATGAGAAATTGCACCTGCACACTTGGATGAAAAATTAGTTTTTCTCTTACAAAAAACCCAGTTTTGAATTTGTCCCACATTGAAAAATTATAAGTTTTGTTTTCAATATTTCAAGAAGAGCTGATTTACACTTCTTAGAATTAGTAGAGGAGAGTATGGGGATTCGATACCGCGCAACGCGCGCGCACGCGTGTGTGCATGTGCAATGAGGCGCTTTAGAGGCGCACTTTGCTCGCACCCGCGTGGCTCGCGATGGACGGCTTTGGTTTTGGTGCATTGATGACCGTTGATCACCATTGATGAGATCAACGGTCACGATTCGATCGGGTGTGATCAAGAGGCACAATTCAAAGTTAACAGTCACCAACTATTAACTACTTTTTAAACAGCCACAATGTTTAAAATTGTGACTGTTCAAGGTGCCTTCTCTAAACCAGCACCTACCTTTTCTTCATACCTCTTCACAAATTATTTAAGGAGCATGAATCAGACTCCAAATCACACAATTTCGAAATTCTCTCTCTCTCTCTCTCAGTCCGGTCTGCTACAGTCTCACAGAAGGTTTCTCTGGAGACTCTTCAACTTTGCTGATTGCAGATTCTCGCCCAAGGCTCTGTTGTATCCTGGGAACGAATTTGTCTATAACCCAATAGCAAACTCAGTGAAACTGACTGGGGGAAAATAACGTTGGTCAGGTATAATTACGAGTGAATTCGAGTCGAACTAAGCTACTGAATATCTAGCTATTTGTAGGGGTGCAAGTCACGTCTGAAGATACTGTCTTTAGCCAAACTCAAGCTGGAATTGATATGGAAACCTGGAACAGTAATCCAGTTCAGCTTGCTTCAGTTGGAGTTCCACTTGCAGTCTCAAGTTATGATCCTATAACTCTGAGTCGAAATGAAGTGATGGTTTGGAAGTTCCACCTTTTAGTTATTAGGCCCTTATAAATGAAGGATAAAAACGCCCATAACTTGCTAAATGTCGTCTAGGAATGGGTAGGATTCTTATAGGTAGAAGATCTGAACTGAAGAAAACTGAGGGCTAGTTCCAAACGGATGGGATCAGATTTTGGATATAAGTGGATCGATCAAGTTTAATTCGTTTGTATTCAAATTTGAGTTGGATTCTATCGATGCCATATAAAACACTAATAGTATATAATATTAATGTAATGAATTAAAAATAATTTTGATATTATATTTTATGAACAAAATTACTTAAAAATTATTTATATAAAACTTCAACTTATGAAAATTTAATAAAAACACAATATTCAAATAAATTTTAGTAATAGATACAAAATTGTATTGGATAGGATAGGGTGGATCCATATTGGATCCAATTACAAACGCATCGAATTCGGATCAGGTCGAATTTGAATTCCTTGGATACCGTTTGCAGCCCTAAGAAAAACCCTAGGGGGTAGTTGCATAATTTCTACCAGGATCGACACGAGGAGTAAGCCGGCCAGTTAAAGTGTTAATTTAGTTAAATATGTATATCAATCCACTAACTTGGACCTAGTGCCCCAACAAAAGGAGAAGTGCTCTCATTCACCTTTCCATTTTGAATTTTAAACTATAAAGCAATATTGACGATTGCATCGATCGTTTCTCATAAACTACCAACAATTTTCAATTCAATTTCTAAGACTGTCCTTCCAGAATAAATACCATCTTCTCTTTAACTCTACCTCTCTTTGATTCCAAATCACTTAATATGGGTATCATGCTTCTCAAGAAGTTTGCTTTCCTCTTCCTCCTTGTCTCGGCATCACTTCTTTCAGTTGCATTTGCAGGTTGGTTTGTCTGAATCTCTTGCATGCACCTTAATTAGTATAGAACAAAATTCCTCCATTTCACTGATTCACTCATTGGGAGATGTTTTCTTAGTAGCATTGAATCTTTCGTTTTTCTTTTATTGGTTAAGTATATATAACTAATGAATCATATATATTATCCAAAGCTGAACCTTCTGAGGGATGTTTCTGAAACTTTTCATTTGTGCGCTGGTTTGATTGTTGCAGGTCGACAGTTAATGGGTAAACCTATTGCCGAAGTGAATGCAAGTAATAAGGTGTGCTCGACTCCAAGGAGACAAGAGCAAGATATAGCTAATTTTGATTTATATTTCTTTTTCTTGTATATAGTAACTAACATAAAAATTAATTTCTATCAAATAACACTCGGTATTAAAAACAAGAATACCTTTTTAACTTAGCTTTATACTGTAGTACTATTAAGATGAATTGCAGATACCATTTCCATCTTATTCTCATCCCACTATCATCATCCTTATCAAGTTTTGTACACCCTAAATAATTACCAACCATTCTATATCTCAGAGCAAATTAACATCAGAGAATGGAATGATCTAGAGCTCCTCCATAAATATAAATATTTGCAGAGTTTTTATATATATAAGGTTTCTATTTTCCTCTCTAGTTACATCTCTTTTTAATACAAAATTTCCTTGGTGTGCTTGATAGGAAGCAGCAGCTGACGTTCATGAGAGGATTCTTCGAGTTAACACCAGAGACTATGGCATATATGATCCTGCACCATCCCTTGTTAAGCCTCCCTTTAAATCCATACCCAACTGACTTTCATATTATAACGAAATAATAATTAAGCTTATAAATATGTTATATATATATATATATTGCATGCCTATACATATATATTACTAATAAGTAGTGAAAGTACGAGTGTGATCACACTCTTATTATAATAAGCAATTTGTATGTATGTATTGATATCTCATGGAGAATGAATGATACAATGTTGATATAATAATGAAATACATGAACTGACTTGCGTGTTCAGGAGTTTCAGATATTGCACATATATGTGTGTGTATATGTATGTTTATATATATTCATGCAGTTAACTATAAGTAGTGTTGTTTTTCCATTCACCCATCTATTTGGATAGGATTTTTGCTATTTTTTTATACCTTTCACTATAACTATCAATTAATTTTTAGGCTCTGTTCGTTTTCTGGGAACCTATTTACCCAGAAAAAAACTTGTCCAGATAAGTGTTATTATCCATGTTCTTTTGTTTAATTTATCCCGGTAAATGTATCTTGTGGGGGCAGTTTTAACCATTTTATTTATTTTTTTCATTTACCCTCTAATTGGAAAACTCAACTTACCCAAGTATAAGAAGGGTATCACTTACCTGGGTAGTTATACCTGGAAAATCAATTTTACCGTGGATCCACAACATGTTTCTAAAATAAGAACATGCCTAAGTTGGTGGGGAATGTGATTCCCATTGACCAACTTTTCCCCTTCAAAATCCCCAAAATAAATAAGACCTTTAAGTAGATGTGAAGCATTATTAGAGAGCGAGTGGATATAAATTCTGTTTTGTTAGAGATGTTCTCAGTCCGGTGTGAGGTGGTGTGTGAGGGGGAAATCCAGATTCCATTTATCTGGGTACAAAATGTAAATGGACCCCGGCCTGCCAAGATACCCTAATACACTGGCTCATGCTTGGCCCAACCTAGCAAACAACCAACACCAGTCAATCACGATTCGCTACAAGTCTACAACATTCAAGATAAGTTTTGCTATTTGGAAAATGAAACAGCCTGAGTGTGTTTTGAAGCTTCCTGCACTTGATGCATCGCCTCATCAGGAATCCAGGTATCCTCCCAACAAAAACATGCTCCAACACATTCTAACATGATTTGTGTCCACACATTTCATACATGATGTGATATGAAGCAACAGATTATGTTGGAAGCATGCTGGGACAGTTTTGTTGGGAGGAGATCCCAATTCCCCCACCCCCTTCGTTTGGAAAAGCTTTGGTTGATGGGAGTCAATAGACTAGACCATGGTTTTTAAAACCAAACCGGTCAGGGGTCCGGTTACTGAGTTGAACGGTCCGATCATTCAAACAGAACACTCGACCCGTTCTGACAGAAAAATAAAAAAATTTAAAAAAAAATGGTCAAAACCGTTTGAATGGTTACCCGCTCGGTTCAGCAGTTCGCTGACCAAAATCAATGATTTTAGGGGGAAATCCAGTTTTTTGGGAAACTGAACCGGTCAGGTGACTAATTCCCGGTTTTCCGGTCCGACCATCCAGTCTGGTCCTGTTTTGAAAACCATGGACTAGACTGTTGCAAATGTTTATAGACGTGACATAACCATGGGTGTGGGGTAAAAGAGTAATTACCTCAACATTCTTTTAACTTTTAAGACAAGCAGGCACTATTAGAAAAAAACGGTTAAAGCCGGCAGTCCTAAAACCGCAGGCTAAGAAGTTCTCAACGGCCAAAGTTTTCTCCATTAGTTCTTTATTTACCTTCTTAAGTCTTAACCTACTCCCAATGCTATAGTATGCACATGAAACTTAAAAACGTTTTTTTTTTTCTTTTTCAAACATTCAAGCTTTATCTTCAACATTTTGTTCAGTGAAATAAAGTGATGCCCGAAAAATAGATACTTAATTTCAAAAGTAAACACATCAACCACATTTTCATAAGGCCCTAATGTTGCTTTCATTCAACTAATCACAAAGCTACATACAATACAATGATGCAACGAGATTAATTTCCATATTTACCAATACTGCACATTGTTAAACAACTTAAACTTGAAAATTAATCTTGTTAATTCAGTAGCAAAGAAGTACACCTACCGACCTACGGTTTATTAGTTTTTGTACCAAACAGATTCTTTGTGATGCAGAAAAGATTGAAATAGCAAAATAGAATTCATACAACCGATTCCATATAGTTGGGACAAAGCCTAGATGATGATGATAAGAGAAATCCTTACTAGCATGGAAGGACGGGGAAGGTCCAAATTTATGGATAATCAGTTATCTATTTGTATGTATTTATGTGCCATTCAGATGCTAGAAAAAACTAAGTTTGGATCTCTTACCCACAAATTATTCTCACATCCATACCCACATAATACTAAAGGGGTCCAGTGGCAAAAGCTCCCTTGTCATTTCATAAGGAGGTGTTTTCAATGCACCACAGTAGTGTTTAGTGGGGATAGATGTGGGAACAGATTGTGGGTAGGAGATGTGGAGTGGAAAGAACTAAGAATATTTGGAGTTTATTCTGCATAAAATACAAATCTAAGGTGTGGTAACCTTTATTTTGTTTTTCTTTTAATCTCAAACTTTTCCCTAGGCGTAAGGGGCACTTAGAAATTGTATTAATCATTATGAAAAGGGAGAAAGAAGATAAGGGAAGAGGACATAGCCATCTTTATCCTAAATCCATGAGATACTAATATGAAATATCACCCTTTCAAACTCAGCCCAATCCATTATAGACCAGAAAATAAACAAAGAGAAAAAAAAAAAACTCATTACCAAGGTTCAAAATATTGATACCATACTTAAATATAAGGTGTATGATATTATATTTCAGGATAACTGATTTGTCTTACACACATTTTGTATATCAAATGTATCGATACTTTCAACCTTTCTTATTACCATCTTATTCTAATACCAAGCAAGCCTAACCAATATTGTTTAGTGTAATCCATCAGCTCAGACTGATTATTATGGATATGCATAATTCCTTCCTCTACGCCAACTTTTGCAAGGAATCAGCTAGTCTATTAACTTCCCTGAATGTATGAGTAAATGTGATATTTAGGGAGCTACAAAGGTCGTTAATCTCTAGTCTCTAATAAAAAAAAAATAATGGACAATCTAGGACGAGGGGAAGTTGCCATTCATGACTTCAACAAACACTTGGTTGTCACTCTTAACTATGATATATATCGTTCATACATGGTTGGACTTCAATACCATCATGAACTTTTATGCTGTGTTTGGTTTAAAAGAAAAAGCAGCGAAATGAAGGAAAAGGTAAAAAAACCTATACAAAGATTATTCGTTATCTTTATCTTCTTTTCCCTATCTTTTCCTTCAAACCAAACATAATCTTAAGAAATTCAGCTTCATTAATGGACGTGGTGGTTCCATAATTTGAAAAGCTAGCTACAAAAACACCATTGGAGTCTCTACTAAAACCATGCACCTCCACCCACCAGACTTGGGTTGCCCTCCATGTTTAATTTGACAAACTCCATGGTCAGCAGGGGATGCAAGTTGAGCGGGTTAGGTTGGGATTTTGAACATTTGAATAGACCTGGCCCAAAAGTCTGAGCCCGAAATAATGTAACATGTTAACTCGAGTCAATTCGAGTTAAGCGGCTTGCGCCCCTTGTTTCAGTGGCAACCATTGACTCACCTTGAAGCAATAGATTTAGGAATTTTTTGAAACTTAATAGCCCATCTTCTGTTCTAATCTTCAAAACGAGAAGACCCATTAAAATCATGAATCCATAGTTCAATTTTGAGAATAACTTGGCTAGCGGTAATGGCCCTCCCTCAAAAGTTCTTCAATATCTCTGCACCCAGATTTCCCAAAGCATGACTGATCATGGTTTTCATAACAGACTGAAAAAATTGGGAGCCGGTCATCTGACTAGTTTTATTTTACCCTAAAATCACTTTTTGGTCAAAAATCATTGATTTGGTCAATGAACTACTGACTTGAGTGGTCGAACCATCAACCTGGATCAAGTTTCAAAAAATCATTATGTATTGGTCGATACATATCGTATCAAGAGCACCCTGATACGCCCTTACGAAAGCTGTATTGGGGTTTTGACCGATTTAGGGAGTGGAGGAACCTTAAACCGGCCCCCTGAACCGGATTTGAAAAAAAAATGTAAAAAAATAAAGCTCCTAGCTGAATGGTATGCGATCTGGTAGAGCTCCTAGCTGGATGGCAGCTCGGACGTCGGTTGCTCAGGTGGCTAGTCGAACTGCAAGAGAAGTAGGATCAGAGAGCCCGGGGTGGTTAACCCGGCGTGGTCACTCCAATGCTTAAGTTAGTAAGTTAGTAACTATGATGTTGCTAGCTAATAATTTGACAATAGGAGAGTTAGAATGCACTAAATCGCATGTACTTGGGTCTCAGGAGTTGGTGCCCTTGATGAATTGCTGTGGGTCTCACGAAAACACCTTCGAGATTTTCGGCCCGCACCGTTAGGAGTCCATTCTGCCCTGGGAGGTGGATAACGTGCTAGCCGATAAGGCTTATCAGGTCCGTTCGATCTGGGCAGAATGAGGATAAGGCCTACGATCATGTGGCGTGATCTCGTAGAGCTTGGAGACAGTTGGCATGCTTCTGGAAGTCTACTACGTGTCTCCTTAGTCGGTCGGACCATCCTGAGCTACTCAGACCTCGATCCTTGCCGAGGTGCCCAGGACACCCGAGGTGGCCTAACTCACCGAAGTGACAGGGAATGCTGATGTGGCAGAAGATGCTAAGTCACGGTCCAATCAGCATGTCGCATCCACGTGTCCACTGTTTAGCTGGTCGGGCCAAATCACCCCTCATCAGCCCTACTAACGTATCGGATGTATCGATATTTAGAACATTGACCCGAACAATGGTTTTTGGCCATTTTTTATTTTTTATTTTTCTGTCAAAACAAACTATCCTTTCAGACCATTCAACCCAGAAACGAACCCATAACAGTACCCTATCCGGTTTGATTTTAAAAACCTTGTGACTGAAGGTATAATAGCTACAACTTGGCTCCAATCTCTCACGCGTCACACCATCATAAACTTGTGTCGAAAATATAAAGATTCCAAACACTT